CGCACCACTGCACTCCAGCAGCCTGGGTGACAGAGCAAGACTCTGTCTCAAAAAAAAAAAAAAAAAAGCAACTCAATAGCATTAAGTAAAAAGTGATACCTTTATGAGCTACTAAAATGTGTATGTGGCCGGGCATGGTGGCGCAGGCCCATAATCCCAGCACTTTGGGAGGCTGAGACAGGCAGATCACTTGAGCCCAGGAGTTTAAGACTAGCCTGGGCAACATGGAAAGACCCTATCTCTACAAAAAATTTAAAAAATAGTAAAATACAATTTGTATATATCAAATAAAAATTCCCAATCAAGTATGAAATTCTCTAAAGCTTTATACGTGAAATGTATAACATGTAATTATCCTTTATTATAGCTAGAGTGGGCTTCTCTTATGAACTGTGGTACAGTGTACAAATTTTTGATCTGATCATTTCTGAACAACAGAAGGAAGACACCAGTGACATCAACAACATATACAATTTAAACTTTCATATGTATGGTCTGAATAAGAAAATTCCATTTCAATAAACAAAAAAGGTGTTTTTTTCAATTACCCTGCTAAGTTTTTGAGATATCAAATTGAGTGAAACATGGCCTAACATCTTAAGAAGTTTACAGTCAGGTAAGAACAATTCATTTTTTCATTCAGCAAATATCATAGCACATCCGTATTGTGCCAGGGAATTTTCTAAGAGCTGGAGGTGGAGAAGGGTGCACAGTGAGCAAAATCGACAAAAATCCCCATCCTTATGGGAATTTACATTCTCATAGAAAAAATAAACAATAACCAAATAAATATATATATTGGATGGTAAAAAATGCAATTGAGAAAAAGTGGAAGGAGGATAAAGTGTATGTGTATATGTTGTGTTGGGGAGGACACAGTTGTCATTTCTTTTCTTGGATGGTGGAAAACCTCAATATATTTAGACTTAGTGAGCTGGAATCCACTTATATGATCCCAGTTTTGTTGGCACCACTTAAAGCATCATGGTAGGTCTAGTCTAAAGTATGCCTTCTTCTCTCCCAAGAAAGTTGACCTTGGCCATGTCAGGGTCCCAGAGCTTCTTCACCTCTTGCCAGATCTGTCCTGACAACCGCAGTAAGCACCAAGTGCTGGTGCCTTCCACCTTCTTTATAACCCACTGGGAAATCAGGGGCAAACTTATAGTGGCACAATGGTTGTTCTTCTTTCTGGAGAACACTTCTGAAGGTACATGGCCTGCCTTCGAAGTCAGTGTTCTGGGTCACTCAAAGGTGGGAAATGTGTGGATCTTTTCTTCTTTTAACCATGGATTTCTTTCTGCATGGCCTCTTGGCTTTTAAAACCTTCTTTGTGGCCGGGCGCGGTGGCTCAAGCCTGTAATCCCAGCACTTTGGGAGGCCAAGGCGGGCGGATCACAAGGTCAGGAGATCGAGACCATCCTGGCTAACACGGTGAAACCCCGTCTCTACTAAAAAATACAAAAAACTAGCCGGGCGAGGTGGTGGGCGCCTGTAGTCCCAGCTACTCGGGAGGCTGAGGCAGGAGAATGGTGTGAACCCGGGAGGTGGAGGCTGCAGTGAGCTGAGATCCGGCCACTGCACTCCAGCCTGGGTGACAGAGCAAGACTCCGTCTCAAAATAAAAATAAAAATAAAAATAAAACCTTCTTTGTGGCCAGATGTGGTGGCTCACACCTGTAACCCCAGCACTTTGGGAGGCTGAGGCAGGTGGATTACTTGAGTCCAGGAGTTCGAGACCAGCCTGGGCAACATGGCAAAACTCCATCTCTACAAAAAAACACAAAAATTAGCCAGGCATGTGGTGCATGCCTGTAGTCCCAGCTACTTGGGGAGCTGAGATGGGAGAATCGATTAAGCCCAGGAGGTCAAGGCTGCAGTGAGCCATGATTGCACCTCTGCACTCCAGCCTGGGCAACAGAATGAGACCCTGTCTCAAACGAAAACAAAAACAGAAACCACCGTTTTTGCTTCAGTTTTGGGAAGCACTTATCTCCTTTCTGAATCTTCTTAGAAACAGTTCCATTTTCAAGTAGGTAGTCAAGGAAGGCTTCCAGATAATGTATTATTTAAACAAAGACTTGAAGGAAGTGAGAGAGCTGGGCATACAGCTATGTGGGGCAAATGCAGAGGCCCAGGGGTAGGAGTCTGCCTGGTGTGTTTAAGGTAGACATGAAAACATAATTGTGATAAATGGTACTTGTGGTAAGGAAAGTACTCCCAAGGAAAAATTGCTTAGATTTTACTTTGTATTACTTACGCATAAACAGTACTTTCACTTTAAGGATTTCAGCTGCATTTAAATACAAACAGGAAGCTGGCTGCAGCAGCCCAAACCGGTAATCCCAACACTCTGGGAGGCCAAGGCAGGAGGATTGCCTGAGGCCAGGAGTTCCAGACCAGGCTGGGCAACACAGAGAGACTCTGTCTTTAAAAAAACTTAAAAAATAGCTGGAGTGGGCCAGGTGCGGTGGCTTATTCCTGTAATTCCACCACTTTGGGAGGCCGAGGCAGGCAGATCACGAGGTCAGGAGATCGAGACCATCTTGGCTAACACTGTGAAACCCTGTCTCTACTAAAAATACAAAAAATTAGCCAGGCGAGGTGACAGGTGCCTGTAGTCCCAGCTACGCGGAGGCTGAGGCAGGAGAACGGCGTGAACCCGGGAGGCGGAGCTTGCAGTGAGCCAAGATCATGCCACTGCACTCCAGCCTGGGCGACAGAGTGAGACTCCATCTCAAAAAAAAAAAAAAAAAAAAAAAAAAACCTGGGGTGATGGTGCATGCCTGTGGTCCCAGCTACTCAGAAGGCCAAGGTGGGAGAATCCCCTGAGACCAGGAGGTTGAGGCTGCAATGAGCCATGTTCACACCACTGCACTCCAGCCTGGGCAACAAAGTGAGACCCTGTCGAAAAATTAAAATAAAAAATAAGCTGGGTATGGTGGCTCACGCCTGTAATCTCAACACTTTGGGAGGCCGAGGTGGGTGGATTACTTGAGGTCAGGAGTTCAAGACCAGCCTGGCCAACATGGTGAAAATCTCTCTCTACTAAAAATACAAAAATTAGCCAGGGGCATGGTGGCATGTGCCTGTAATCCCAGCTACTCAGGAGGCTGAGGCGGGAGAATCACTTGAATCCGGGAGGCAGCGGTTGCTGTGACCCGAGATAGAACCACTGCACTCCAGCCTGGGCGACAGAGGGAGAATCCATCTCAAAAAATGATCATAATAAATAAATAAATAATAAACAGTGACTAACCAATATGATAGTAAGATAGACACATTTATTATGTCAATTCTATGCATCTGAAAGCAGAGAGAAAATATAAATAAAAGGAAAAGTGAGGGAACGGTCACGGTAGTTCACGTCTGTAATCCCAGCACTTTGGGAGACTGAGGCAGGCAGATCACGAGGTCAAAAGATCGAGACCATCCTGGCCAACATGGTGAAACCCCATCTCTACTAAAAATACAAAAATTAGCTGGGCGAAGTGGCACGCGCCTATTGTCCCAGCTACTCGGGAGCCCAAGGCAGGAGAATCCCTTGAGCCCGGGAGGCGGAGGTTGCAGTGAGCCGAGATCGCACCCCTGCACTATAGCCTGGCGACAGAGTGAGACTCCATCTCAAAAAAAAAAAAAAAAAAAAGAAGTGAAAGGAATAATACTGGATTGGTGCAAAAGTGATTACGGTTTTTGCCTTAAAAGCAGTGACATCAGGTCAGGTGCAGTGGCTCACGCCTGTAATCTCAGCACTTTGGGAGGCCAAGATGGGCGGATCACCTGAGGTAGGGAGTTTGAGACCAGCTTGACCAACATGGAGAAACCCCATCTCTACTAAAAATACGAAATTAGCCGGGCATGGTGGCACATGCCTGTAATCCCAGCTACTCGGGAGTGTGAGGCAGGAGAATCACTTGAACCCGGGAGGCGGAGGTTGTGGTGAGCCAAGATCATGCCATTTGCACTCTAGCCTGGATGACAAGAGCGAAACTCCATCAAAAAAAACAAATAAAATAAATAAAAGCAGTAAAAGCAATGACATCAACCTAATAGCAGGGCATGGAAGCTATTTTGCCTGAGTAAAGATTCCCAGCTTTGCACTGGGCAACTTACTGAACTTCTCTTTGCCTCAGTTTCCCACTTTAAAATTGAGATAATAATAGTGCCTCTGTTATGCGGATTAAATAAGATAATACATAGGAGAGAGGAATGGTTCGGAAAATTTAATGTGTATACAGATCTCTTTTAAATGCAGATTCTGGGAGTCTCCATTTCTAACAAGCTCCTGGGGCTGCTGACTCTGCTGCTCCACAGACCACACCTCTGTATCTAGGTTGTAAGGCACGTAAAACAGTGCCTGGCACACAGTGTGCACTGAATAAATTTAACTATGATTATATTTTCACACAGTTGAGTTGGCAGGGAAACTAGATTAAAAAGCCAATAAGTTTCCCTCCTTCTCTATCAGATGTTTCCTGACGATACTGTATCCTTGAATAGAATTCTACTGCATTCTGAGTTCAAGTGATGAATGTGCATATGGATAACAAGTTTTCATTTTTAAAAGCTCTCAATAGCAGCTTGAAGCACTATTCTTGAATGTATGGTTTTAAGCCATGTCAAAGTTCATAATACCGTGTGCATAGTAGGCATTTATTTAATACTTGGATCAAAGAATGTCCAGGCTATCTAAATAAATCATCCTTCTAGGAATAAACAGTGCTGCTGGAGTTCAGTTTTATTTAATGCGGTGGCATGTATGCCAAACTATGACTTCAAGAATGTGGCAATTGTGTTCTAAAATCCAAAGTATGTTACACTAATCTAATTGCGTTAGAATCTCATGCAAGGCTGACTATAACCCAACTACTTCCTTCTTCCTGTGCGGCTCAACCCAGACTTTACAGGCTAACAGTGCCCTCTACTGTTCAACAACCAGTCGGTGCTACTAAATCCAATCCATGAAGCTGCAAAATCAGAATTCAGACAACTGAGTCCACTTACCACACAAACGTAGCTTGCATCTGCCTTTAGAGGACAGAGGGCCGTCATCAAGGAGCGGTCCATGCTAGGAGGGACTGAGACTGATTTCTGGGCCACCATTGTGAAGCTGACCAGGATCCCCAGAGAGGAGAGAAAAGCTCGTTGCTGTTTTCCCCTAAAGCACTAACAGCCTACAACCTCCCTTTCTCCACACTGACCTGGTCTTCACCCTTTGTCCTCCCCCTCCTTAAGGTTAGTTGCATCGTCAGCCTTTTCTACTTCTCATTCCACCTGCCAAACCGTAATTCTCCTTTGGAGAAATCTGGAAACACAAAAGTCCTCGGGATACAGCCTCTTGCCACTAAGCATGGGCAACTGTTCTGTGACTGTGATTAGATCCTCTAGTTTGTAGCACCTCAACTTTTGTTTTCAAAGCTTTTGAGTATATTCACAGAGGTGCGCAACCATCACTGTAATCTAATTTTAGAGCATTTTCATCACCCCAAAAAGAAATTCTGAGCCGGGCACAGTGGCTCATGCCTGTCATCCAAGCACTTTGGGAGGCTGAAGTGGGAGGACTGCTTGAACTCGGAGTTCGAGACCAGCCTGGGCAACATAGTATAGTAAGACCCTGTTTCTACATAAAATAAAAAATCAGTTAGCTAGGTGTGGTGCTGTGCACATGTAGTCCCAGCTACTGGGGAAGCTGAGGTGGAAGAATTACTTGATCTCAAGAGGTCAAGGCTGCAGTGAGCCCTGGCAGCATCACTGTATTCCAGCCTGGGCGACAGAATTAAACTGCCTCAAAAAAAAAAAAAAAGGAAATTGCGTACTGATTAGTATCCACTTCCCATCCTCCTACCTCTTGCCCATCCCTAAACAACCATTAATCTATTTGCTGTTTATAAATTTGACTATTCTAGACATTTCGTATAAATTGAATCATATAATATGTGGCCTTTTGTGAATGGCTTGTTTCACTGACAATGATTTAAAGTTGTAGCATATATGAGTATTTCATTCCTTTTCATTGCTGAATAATATTCCATTGTATGAATATGCCATATTTTACTTATCCATTTGCCAGTTGGTGGACGTTTGGGTTGTTTCCACTTTTTGGCTATTATAAGTAGTGATGCTATAAGTGTTAATTTGCAAGTTTTTGTGTAGACTTACGTTTTTCACTTCTCTTCAGTAGATATCTAGGGATGGAATTACTGGTTCATATGGTAAGAAAGCTTCATATCCCATCCCCAACTAAGAATAAAGATTAACATGCTGGGCACAGTGGCTCACACCTGTAATCCTAGCGCTTTCGGAAGCCAAGGCAAGTGGATCACCTGAGGTCAGGAGTTCAAGACCAGCCTGGCTAACATGGTGAAACCTCGTCTCTACTAAAAATAAAAAAATTAGCCATGTGTGGTGGTGCACTCCTGTAATCCCAGCTATTTGGGAGGCTGAGACACAAGAATCACTTGAACCTGGGAGGCGGAGGTTGCAATGAGTCAAGATTGCGCCACTGAGCTCCAGCCTGGGTGGCAGAGCAAGACTCTGTCTCAAGAAAAAAAAAAAAGAAAGATTAACAGAGAAAAAAATTATGTTATCCTGATGGCCGCTAAATACAGTCTTACTAGGATTGTGATGAAGAGGTTTTTAACAAATGATTTAACAAATGATTCAGCCTTGATTCCTCAAGACCAAGAGCCCAGGTCTGATCTCTTTTTTTCTTGACAGTTCTAAACGTGGCCACCAGCATAAGTGTTTCACATTCCTTTGAAGCATATTTTTCCAGCCCACTACCCAAAGTCACTCCCACTTGGAATTTTATTATTTCTAAGCCTTCCTAGAAGCAGGCAGAGTAGTAATCGCTATTTGTTTTTTGTTTGTTTGTTTTTTGTTGTTGTTTTTTGTGACAGGGTCTCACTCTGTTGCCCAGGCTGGAGTGCAGTGGCGTGATCTTGGCTCACTGCAACCTCTGTCTCCTGGGCTCAAGCGATTCTCCCACCTCTGCATCAGTCCTGCAGCTGGAACTACACAGGTGCAGACCACCACACTTGGCTGTATTTTGTAGAGGCGGAGTCTCCCTATGTTGCCCAGGCTGGTCTTGAACTCCTGGGCTCAAGCAATCTGCTGGTCTTGGCCTTCCAAAGGGCTGGGATTACAGATGTGAGCCACAGCACCTGGCCCAGTCATCCTAGTCATCCCTATTATATGATTTGTGAGGTTTTGTTTTTTCAAAGCCATAATATCCAATTGGTTAAATAATCAAGTACAAATACTTCCTGAGCATCGACTCTCCACACAGCAAAGTGGCAAAAACAGAAGAGGTAAGACAGAGCTCCTGTCCTGGAGGAGTTTATAAGCCTGTTGGGAAGAAAAGTAAAATTGCAACTCAAAATGTCACTTAAGTGTACAAACATTTTCAGCAAGTTATTGTCTACAGAGCAGCGATAGCCAATATTTCCAAGTCAAAGCAAACACAGACTATGGACATATTTCTATGGACACTGGGATGAACAAAGGGGCCTGCTGAGGACAGGCCCCTGGCCTGCGATGGCTGGGCACCCCCACCTCCCTGATCTCACTACCTCCTCTCACTGATAACCTGTTGGGGCACATCCCAGTGGCAGCACACCTGTAGACGTCTCCTTTTTTTTTTTTTTTTTGAGACGGAGTTTTGCTCTTGTCACCCGGGCTGGAGTTCAATGGTGCTATCTTAGCTCACTGCAACCTCTGCCTCCCAGGTTCAAGCAATTGTCATGCCTCCTGAGTAGCTGGAATTACAGGCACCTGCTGCCACCACGCCCAGTTAATTTTTGTATTTTTAGTAGAGACAGGGTTTCACCATGTTGACCAGGCTGGTCTTGAACTCCTGACCTCAGATCATCCACCCAGCCTGGCCTCCCAACGTGTGGCGATTACAGGTGTGAGCCACCGTGCCCGGCCAACTTGTGGAAATCTCTAGTTCACTGGATAACTTCCAAACATTTTTGCATGGTATTCAAGGCTCTCGCAAACTGGCCTTAATCTACCTTTCCAACCATTTCTCCCATGAGCCCTCCATACCTAACAACCTGTCAGCTCATTGTCTTCAGAACATTCTGGGTACCCTCCCTAAAATGTGTACCCTCCCCAAAACGAGCCTTCAGTCACTATTTATTCACTGGTTGATTCTTATCCCTACACTTTCTCTCACATAACTCACAGCAACTATTCAAATCCCTTCAAGTCCTCATCAAGTCCCCTGTCCTGGAGAGGCCTTCTCTGTCCCCTCCAGCCCACAGGAGTTCTTTCTTTCTCTGCATGCTCATGTCTTTTAGTATTGATTCAACATCTTTGACTTGTGACAATACATAGCCTCATAGTTATTAAATTTCCAAGGGCATAACTGTGGCATGCCCAGCCAGAACCTAGACCAGCTCCTTCTGAGCATATATCGTGTCTCCAGCTGGGTGTCCATAGCACCTTCGGGAAGCCTGGGTAAAAGGATCAGGGAAGTGGGCTGGCCTAGACGGGTGCTTAGTGCAATGCTACCACATTGCCATGCAATCTGCTTTTCATCTATTACCTGTTTCTTCAGTACTTAGGTATTTACGTGCTTTCTCAAAATCTTTAAACAAAACCAAAACCCCGTCTTGACAGAATAGCATAAACGGAAACTATCCTGGACTGAACCAGGGTGTAAAGGTGACTGTATTAACCCACAGAAGGCTGGGGCAGAGTACAAATTAACAGGCCCCTCTGTCTGCTCTGCAGTAGCAGAAGGAGGAGGAGAGGGAGGGGGAGAGGGAGGAGGAACAGGGAGAAAAGGGAAAAGAGGGAGAGTAGGGGGAGGAAGAAGAGGAGAGACAGAGTTTCACCATGTTGCCCAAGCTGGTCCCGAACCCCTGGGCTCAAGCAATCTGCCTGCTTTGGCCTCCTGAAGTGCTGGGATTACAGGTGAGAGCCATGGTGCCCAGCCTAGCAATTTGTTTTTCTACTTACTCATTCCAAAATCTGCCCAGAACGTACCTGCGATCCTGGCGCCTGGAACCACAGGCTGGCCACCCCAATCCTAATGACACCTGTGGTCTACAGCTTCTCTTTTCTAGAAACATGGCCAAAAGGTGTTAGATCAAAAAGGAAATTATAGGCTTTTGAAAATAGAGAAAAATAGGCTGGGCACAGTAGCTCATGCTTGTATATCACAACATTTGGGAAGCCAAGACAGGAGGATCACTTGAGCCTGGGAGTTTGAGACCAGACTGGGTAACAAACTGAGACCCCTTCTCTACAAAATATTTAAAAATTAGCTGGGTGTGGTGGTATGTGGTTACAGTCCTAGCTACTTGGGAGACTGAGGTAGCAGGAGGATGGATCACTTGAGCCCAGAAGGTTGAGGCTGCAGGGAACCATAATTGTGTCACTGCGCTCCAGCCTGGGCGACAGAGCCAGACTCTGTCTCAATCAATCAATCAATCAATCAGTAGCTGAGTGTGTTGGCTCATGCCTGTAATCCCAACACTTGGGGAGGCTGAGGTGGGCGGATTACCTGAGGTCAAGAGCTCGAGACCAGCCTGGGCAACACGGTAAAATGCTGTCTCTACTAAAAATACAAAAATTATCTGGGCGTGGTGGTGGGCATCAGTAATTCCAGCTTCTTGGGAGGCTGAGGTGGGAGAATCGCTTGAACACAGGAGGCAGAGGCTGCAGTGAGCTGAGATGGTGCCCCTGCACTCCAGCCTGGACAACAGAGTGAGACTCCGTCTCAAAATAAATAAATAAATAGAATACAGAGAATCAAGATGGGAAATGATGTTCATTTGTGAATGTTCCAGTGCTTACTGTGGGCCATGCATTGTGGCAAAACCGTGACCAATGTGAAGAGAAGCCCTCAGCCAGCTCACAGCGCAGGGGAGTGGGGAGGTGAAAACAACAAGAAGACATTTTAGCTGGGGAAGAATAGCACCAAGAGCGCGACCCCTCACCTTTGTACTTTAAATTTGTTATGCTTCATTGGATGGGGGAAATGAGCCTGGCAGAAGTTGGAGATGAGACTAGTACTGTGGCCTCTGCACCCAGGGCTTGGAGTTAGAAGAGGGATGGGGGTTCTGGATCCACAGCAGTTGATGGAACTTGTGCCCTCCCCTGCCCATCCCCCAGCTGAGTTGGAAATGCCACCACACTGGGATCTCTGGCTAACGCAGCTGAGTGAGACCCTGAGGGAAGTAGCAGCCCATCCTCCCATCTCAAGGAAATGTTGCTCTACGGTGCGCAAGTGGTGGCGGCTGCGATGGAGCGGGAAGCTTAGCCTGAGCATCATCCCATTTTGCCAGATTTCAGTAGCTGCATCAGAGCTGTGGTTTCAGTAACCATGGTGTCAGCTGTGGGACTCTGGAGGCATCCAGCACAAGGGGTGTAGACTCTTCCAGCCTCAGCTCCAGCCTCTGTAAGTGAGGTAAGCGTATCTGGGGCTA